AGTCTAAAGCAGTAAGTTTAAAAGTCAAATAATATATATATATATATATTCATTTCTTTTCTTTTTTTAAAGGATATGATTATAACTAATCATGATAAAATATATTATCGACCATTCCGTAAAGATTTTTATACAGTTGTACCTGAAATAGCTAATATGACAGATGCTGGTAAATAAAACAAATAATATGTATTTAATTATTAATTTTTTTTTTTTGTTCTTCAGAAGTTGCTGCATATCGAGAAGAACTCGATGGTATTAAAGTAGTTGGTAAACGATGTCCAAGACCAATAAAAACATGGTCACAATGTATAACATCTGATAAAATTTTACAATCTTTAAAAAAGTAAATTAAAAATATTTTTTTTTTCTTGTTTTTCAAATGATCATATTTTTTTTTGTTTTTTTAGATATAATTATGAAAAACCAACACCTATTCAAGCTCAAGCATTACCAATTATTCTTTCTGGTCGAAATATGATTGGTATTGCTAAAACAGGCAGTGGAAAAACTTTAGCATTTCTTTTACCAATGTTTCGTCATATAAAAGATCAACCACCATTAGAAGGTGACGATGGTCCAATAGGTAACACAAAGAATAAAAAAAAGAAAATATTTACTTTAATTTTTATTTATTTTTAGCTATTATTATGACACCAACTCGTGAATTAGCATTACAAACAACAAAAGAATGTAAAAAATTTGCTAAATTATTTAATATTCGTTGTGTTGCTGTTTATGGTGGTACAGGAATATCAGAACAAATTGTACGTTGTGTTCTTTTTTTGGTAGTTGAAATTTTTATCCTGAAAAATTTTTTTTTTTTTTAGGCAGAACTTAAACGTGGTGCAGAAATTATTGTATGTACACCTGGACGTATGATTGATATGTTAGCTGCTAATGGAGGTATTTAGAAAATTTTCTACTTTAATTTTTTATGTATTTAATATGTTTTAGGTAAAGTAACAAATGTTCGACGAGTCACTTATGTAGTTGTCGATGAAGCAGATCGAATGTTTGATATGGGTTTTGAACCACAGGTATGAATGAATTAAGTCTGCTACTACTTTATCATAGGATAGAAAGATGACGTTTTCTTTACATGTTGAAGGTTTTAGCAATTACGGAGAATTAATTCTGCCTTTTGTAATAATATTTTCAAAATTCTTTTTTAAGTTAATATATTATTGACACGGATGGCAATCAAACTTTGAAAAGTAGAAGAGGCATCATCCTTAAGTCATGCCCCTAGTGCCGAAAATTCTCTCTTTTTAATTATTTCTACTTCAATTTATTAACTAATGAGAAGTCGTTTTTATTGATAATTGATCGATGCAGTTTAGCGATAAAACGATGGTTTTAGATTTAGATTTTTGGAAGTAAAAACCTTTTTATGTATTTGTATAAAACTCAACTATTTTCTTAAAAATGGCTGCCTGATATTAACTTTCAGAATGACTATCACATACATACAACAAATATTCTTGTTTTCTTTTTTACTAGGTGACAAAAATTCTTGATAGTATTCGACCTGATCGTCAAACAGTTATGTTTTCAGCAACATTTCCTAAACAAATGGAAGCATTAGCACGTAAAACTCTTTATAAACCAATTGAAGTTACTGTTGGTGGACGAAGTATTGTTTGTAAAGATGTTATACAAAATGTGGTAAATATTAAAAATAAAATAAAATAAAAACCATTGAAATCTTTTTTTTGTTTTTTTAATTTCATAAGCTTATTCTTGATGATGATCAAAAATATTTAAAATTACTTGAATTACTTGGTATATATCAACCACAAGGTTCAGTTATTGTATTTGTTGATAAACAAGAACATTGTGATGAATTAATGAAAAATTTATTGAGAAATTCTTATCCATGTATGTCATTACATGGTGGTATTGATCAATATGATCGTGATTCAACGATAGTTGATTTTAAAAGTGGTGATATGCCATTAATGATAGCAACATCTGTTGCTGCACGTGGTTTAGATGTTAAAGATTTAATTCTTGTTGTTAATTATGATTGTCCAAATCATTATGAAGATTATGTACATCGTTGTGGACGAACAGGTCGAGCAGGAAATATTGGTTATGCTTATACATTTCTAACACCAGCACAAGAACGTTATGCTGGTGATATAATACGTGCATTAGAAACATCTAATACACCTATACCAGAAGAATTAAATTTATTATGGGATGGTTATGTTAAAAAAATGGAAGCTATGGGTAAAAAAGTTAAAACTGGTGGTGGTTTTAGTGGACATGGTTATAAATTTGATTCATCAGAAACACAATTAAAAGATGAACAAAAAAAAATGCAAAAAGTTGTTATGGGTTTAGGTGATTCGGATGAAGATGAAGAAAGTCAAGATGTATGTACAAGATTTTTTTTGGAATTTTCTTTGTAAATATTTATTTATATTTGTATTAGATCGATCAACAAATTCAATCATTATTTAAAAGTAAAAAATCGATTAAAGCTAAAGGTGATGCACCAGTCTTACCAAATGCACCAACTACTCAAAATGATGAAGCCAGTGGTGTTACTACTGTGAATGATACAGCATCAAAATTAGAATTAGCCAAGAAAGCAGCTGCTCGGTAAATATATTGTTTTATTTGAATAGTAGAAGAATTTATTCGATTTTTTGGTAGTTAGAGAATTTTAATGAAATTTAAAATGATTCATTGATAGAAAAATATATTCTCTGACGAACTACACAAGGTCGGCATTGCTAACTTGTTTCATTCAAGAGTTATAAGAATTTTCTTCATACAAATGCATTGAACTATAAATCAATAAAGAATGTTGAATCTTCTATTTGTTTTTTTGTTTGTAGGCTTACATTTACTAAATCCGAAACTCGAGATTCTATACAAGAAGCAACAACTTCATTATTTCAACGTGGTGGTACATTAAATCCAACTGTATCCGTAAGTATTTGAGAAATTTTTTTGTACAATATTTTGTTTGTTTGTTTTTTTAGAGTCGTATTGTAGCACAACAACGAGCTGGTGAATTAAATCAAAAATTAAATTATCAAAAACCGGAAGAAGAAATACAAGTTACAGAAGATGCATTCAAAATATTTGAAGAAGAATTAGAAATAAATGATTTTCCACAAAATGCACGATGGAAAGTTACAAGCAAAGTAAAAATAATATAAACGAAAAGAAAATTTTATTGAATATTTTTTTTCATTATAGGAAACATTAGCACATATTTGTGATTATGCTGATGTTGGTATGTCTGTACGTGGTCAATATTATCCAAATAATAAAGAAGTTGCACCGGGTGATAGAAAACTTTATTTACAAATTGAATCATTAACTGAACGTGGTCTTCAATTAGCTAAAGCAGAAGTTGCTCGATTAATTAAAGAAGAAATGATGAAAATGGTAAGTTTAATAAATACATATATATTTATAATTTTGATTTTTATCAAAAATCATGATTCTCTTGTTTTTTTTTTCTTTATAGCAAAATCCAGCTTTACAACTTGTCAATCGTGGTCGTTATAAAGTTGTTTAATTTTGATTATTCTTTTTTCGTTCGGACATACAATTATTTTTTTTTTTGTTTTTTTCTTCTTCTTCTTCTCCTTCTATGTTTTGTAAAATTGAATTTTGTCTCATTTTTTTTTTTGTTTGTTTCTTTTGGCTTGTCTATATATTGTTCATTCGTGATTGAAACTATGATGTTAATCTAGTTGTCTATGAGAGAGATTATTATTACAGTTTTTTCTCCTATTAAATTGGACAAATCATTCGAAATGTTTTCAACATATGCATTATCTCCAAAAAAACAAACAAACAAATGTATTTTGGATAGTAAATGCTCGATATCAATGAAGTTTATCAATTATAAAAATTTTGATTCAAATGTAAACATAGCAACTAACGAACTTTGATGAAATAAATCATATGAAAACAAGTTTAAAGTAGTCACCATTACAAACAATATATCATATAAGATTTCGTGCAATGTTGCAATTAGTTTAGCAAATCTTAAATTAGCTATTGAATACTATATATAACGCAGAATAATATATTTAATATGTAATCAAAAAAAAAAGTAATAAAACTGATTTCATGAGTTAATCTCTTCACGTTTGAAATTGTTTTTTGATCGAGACGATTTTCACTGAATGAATACTAGAAAAATCTAGAATAGTTTGATTTTTTCAGCCTTTGCTCTTGAAGCATTTGAAATTTTTACTGGGTTTTTTCTCCAACTCTGCATGAACAAATTTCTTAATAAGATTAATTGATTGTGAAAGTTTTAGTTGTTCTAATATATCTTTTCTGAAGATGTAAATAAACAAAATTTGTTTTTACACATGACACAATGGAGAATATTAAATATCTAAAGACGACTTTTCACATGACGTAAGGCGGACGAAAGATCCAGAAAAATTTCGATATCTCAAGAAAGAAGAGCCGAAAAATCAAACCATTCTAAATTTTCCTAATACTCATCAAATGAACATTGTCTCGGTCGAAAAACGATTTGACACTAATCTGTGATAGACATGAATATACGATCACAGACGGCATATAAGTAACGTCTCGTTATAATATATAAATAACAGCGGGTACATCGTACGTCTAACAAGGGAACACTTACAAGTGTTCGAGCGCTTTTGAACACAGGTTCTACATTAGTACAAGCATAAATGAGAAAAATCTCAGCTCATTTCTATTTATATTGGCTGAAATAGTGACTTTTTTTGATAAAATAAATCTTACGGTTGTAACAGTAAAAATATTCAATTCTCTCAGAAAGAATCTTTCTGGTTTATCATCAACTGGTTACTAGAGTCTAGGGAAAGACACTTCAAAAACCTCAATTTGAAGCTCAACTCACTATCTCCTTCAAAAATGTATGAAGTCTCACAAAAGAATTTTAAGTTCCTCCTTTAAAAATAAAAGATCAAGATTTAACTGATTCCACCAAATGTCTCCAAGATTTACTGAACTGATCTCAATCGGGTCTACCATATTCGATTACCACTATGTTATAAGTACTGCAGTATCATTCTAATCTTAGGTGTTTTCAAGTTAGTAACAAGTAAATTTCCATGGAATATGCCACCATTAATACACCTGATTTACGGGTCTGGCTAATGAAATTCATCGAAAGAAATCAAAATTATAGTGTACACTAAAACCGTTAGCAGTTTCAGTATTTCTTTTTCTATTTTATTACAGGATACTAATACAATATTGTGTATAAAGAAAAAGTGACAGTTCTAAGACAAGAAAATAAAACTATTGAAACTATGAAAACTAAAACGTAGAAGTAACTGAGCTCGTTATACGTTTCTTGTAGACGATTTTTTTTTATAAAAATTACGAAAATCAGCCTGATTTAATTTACAAAAATCGTGACGAAGTATTTCGAACAGCAAGTTCGATTTGGTATTTTTGTTCTTTACAAAGACGAATGAGGTACGTTAGCGACCTAAACAATTTGTTTTTTTTTGCTGATACTGCCAACGGAAGAAGGTCGTGAGCAAAAGAAAAGCAAAAACAGACTGATGAAATCATCGCACTTACGTCATGTTAGAAAATTTTTTTCTTCTCTCAACTCCTTCGAGACGTGTTCGATATTTCATCATGTTGTAGCAAGCTTTTTTTCTTCCTTCATGCAATACTCGAAGAAAGCAGAGAAAGAAAGAGAGAATAGAATAATATTAGGGTAATTCTTTGCACATGTGATTTTTTTTGCGTCCTCATCGTCTCTAGCTTTGTTTTTTCTTTTTCATTCTGTATAAAAAAGTAATCGCACATCACATTATTGTCCTTGAGTCTTTCTCTCTCTACTTGATCGTCTAAACGATGGATCAATGGGACCGCACCTCTCAATTATTAATTTCAGCAATTGTCGGTGTCAGTCGAACAATCGGTGGTCTTCCACTTGAACATCCGCTCGATACTATTCGCACACGATGGCAAGCGAATCCAACACAGTCTCACAATGTTCTTCAAGTGACTCGCGAAATATATATGTCAAAAGGTTTTCTCGGTTTTTACTCGGGTGCGATTCCAAATACGACTCGACGTGCTGTCAAACAAACATATCGTTGGCCAATGATGCTTTTTTTTCCTAATTTCTATCGAGATCATGTTCTATCTGCTCGCATTCAACAAAACTATCCTCGTTTGCCAAAAATTCTTACCGGACTTTCCATAGCTAACTTCGAAATTCTTGTTATCAATCCTCTTGAACGGCTTAAAGTCTGGCTTATGACGAGTCCCACACGTCTTGGTCTGCTCGAATTCTTTCGACAACGAACAGATGGTCGAGATATCATCCGAGAACTCTATCGAGGTACATCAGCCATTTTCTTTCGTCAAAATGTCTCCTGGGTTACTTTTCTGTATACTGATGAGTTGACCAAGACGAAATTTCGCGAATATAAACAATCACAAAATTTGACTCCTATCGATCTATTTGTAGCAGGAATGCTTGTCGGATTGGTCAATACAGGTGCAATGATGCCATTTGACTATGTTAAAACACAAAAACAAAAATTTTTTCAAAATAACCAATCGATGGTGGATATTTTCAAGACAACCGTAAAACAAGATGGAATCGCTCGATTTTACGTTGGATGGAAAGTGTATCTTGTTCAGTATGCAATTGTGGCTATTTTGACGGTCAATGTATTGGATAAATTAGAACAAAAATTTAAAAAATCGACTACCAGTAAATCCTAATTATTTCTTTGGTTTCTACTTAGTCATAAATGAAGGGAAAAAATCATATCCTTTAAGTGTGATAATCTATGAACTTCGATAAATAAAGATCAGTTGAATATTTACTAAAGCCTCATTTGGACCGAAGTTTCATATGATTTTTCTCTCTGGAATCAATGCTGGTCAATATCTTATCAAAAACCAAAATATTGGCATGCATTGCTCCTCCTCTGCTCTGCCGAAATATGGTGAGTCGACTGTTGACGGAATCATAATCAAGACCAAAATATATCGTCGTTTCGTATTAATCCAGAATTTTCGTAGCTATGAGAGAGTTGAAGATGTAGTTTATATGTATAAGCAGAACAATTCATACTATATAAATTTATATGATTTCACTCTCAAAGGATGACCTTCTTGAGAAGTACGAGCCAAAATACTCATCAAGTACTAATAAAAAATACGTATTTTGAAACTTCTGTTCATTCTAGAGTAATGGTCTGATGAGTATAGTAGAAAATTCGTTTCAAAACATAATCAACAATTCAAAGCCAAATTTAAGTCGGAAAGTACTGCAATAAGAGCAAAGTTAAGACACCGACGGATTTGTATGTATTATTTTGAACTAAACAAAATGGAGTTGATAAGCTGCATCTGTAACATTAAATCTCTCACAAAAGGACATTGCTGTCCCTCAGCGTAATAAGTTGGAAAGAATCTGCATGCGTATCAACTTACTTACACTTTATCAATATTGTAAGTCAGCAAGAGCTTATCTATCATAAGTACTTTCATTCTGTTATCACCATGAAAATTTCATTGCTTCTCTAGCAGAAGGACACACGTAATGTAGAATGTGTTTTATGATTTCTCATGACGTGAAGTGAGTTATTGAAAAGAAACAAAAAGATACGGGAAATATATAGAAAACAAACGGCCGTAATTAGGATCATACAAATTCATGGCTAGTATGTAAGCAACTATCAGTTTGGAGAATCACTTTATCGCTTTCTTCATTCCATAGTGATAGGATTCATCCCAAAAAGCGTATTCATATTGGCACACTTGTCGAAAGAGTTGCTTCAGCTCTTTCCTTTGCTCATATAAACAATCATTGACCACGCGATTCGTAAGTTCGAGAAAGTAGATGAGTCGATCTCGCCTCGCTTGATCACGAAAATAATCGATAAAATCGCTATAGCGTTTGACTGTCTGCTTCATACCACTTGCAATCATCCAATCACCAACTTTGGCGTAGACAAGAATACAAGGCAAGAGAGCGATGAAACCCTTTACCCATCCTAAATCACTATTGCATGAGGCTAATTCCCGCATGAGCTTCGTGTAATTAGCGCAGGCAGGTATTTTTACTGTAGTCTTCTCATCGTGTGGGGGCAAGTTATTGTCACTGAGAAGCGTTAGAGCCCACTTGTTGTTTTTATCAAGCAGCAGACTGATGAATTTACGAGCTTCTTCATCGTTCGAACAATGGTAGACGAGACTCTCGAGCATGTATCCTCGATCAAGACAAAAAAGATAATCTTGGACGATATAATAATCGTAAATACGCTCATCTAAAGTACTATCGAGCAGTTTATTGAGAAACGGCAGTTCCAGAATTCGAGTGAAAATATCATTGACTGATGACCAAACTTCTTGGGTAAAAGTGAGAGAAGGGATGTGAAGAAGTGAGGAACGGATGGGGTCCTCGACTGTTGAGTATAAATGACCATATACAATAGCGAAGTACAACGGGAGCTGATCATGAGCTAGATAGGCAGCGACCGCTGTGGAGAAACCTCCTGTATCCAATGCATTTTCGTGCACAGG